TACATTAATAAACATCTTTAATTGCAATACTGAATATCTAGACCTCTGCAGATATGCTAGTGACCTATTCTGCATAACAATTAGCGTATTACAATAGAGAAATCACATTCCCTGTATCTTAGCGCCAAATCACATAGCTGCAATATATATTCACATTTATGTTACAAGTAATCTGATTGTATAATAGTAACAGCGACATTTACTAACCACCAGGGCATGTTAAGTCATTTTGTCCTATTTTTATATTCCTATTCCTATGTCCTATTATATATTTCGCCTTCCCTATTCACATTCAGGCGCTCCCTCAAAACCCATCTCTTCAGGGAAGCCTACCCCACCCTCACCTAACGGCCATCCTCCCTCATTCCTCCCACCACTTCATCCCCCTCAGCCACTTCCTACTGTACCTTTACCCCCTCCCTCCTAGATTGTAAGCTCGTAAGAGTAGGGCCCTCTTACCCCTCGTACGTTGTTTGTTGTTGTTGTACTGTGCCATGTATTGTCCCCCCTATTGTACAGCGCTGAGCAAACCTTTGGCGCTATATAAACTCGTAGTAATAATAATAATAATAATAATTTTATCATGTTAAACAGCCTCCTGCTTACCTGTAACAAACACAGAAAACCCTTAATTACATGTGACTGGATATGTTCACTGTAATCACTGGCCTGTAGGAAACAAAGTGTTAGACTTCTAGTTCCTACTTCTGTGTCTTCCTATTATCACAGGAAGTAGTTCTGCCCTCTTGTGATGGTACAATAAAAATGCAATCACTAGTATCTTCTATTGACAAAGATAGCTTACTGTTATATTAGGTATTAGGCTTTGGATTTAAATTTTATGGGGCTGCCTATTTTCTACACCTCTTACAACTGCACACCAGTGCACAAATGAAGGTCCATAAAAACACAGATGAGCAAGTTTGGGGTGGAGGAACTTGACTTGGCTGCACTGAGTCCTGACTTCAACCTGATACCTTTGGGATGAATTAGATCAGAGACTGTGAGCAAGGCCTTCTCGTCCAACATCAGTGCCTGAAGCTCACAAATGAGCTTCTGGAAGAATGGTCAAACATTCCCATAGAATATCGTATATATGCGAGCACTAGAAATAAATATGAAGCAGCTAGCACAAAGGTAAACGTAATAACTCCTTATAAAAATGTGCTATAAAGTGCAGAGCTAAATAAAAATAATTAATATAATATTGTGAAACAGTCAAGTGCAACAAATATAAAGTGAAAATCAATAAAGTCCATATATAAAACAATGAATAGTGTCTGTGGGACTACAAGGCACAGCAATCGCAGTGAAGGATAAAACTGTGAAATGATCCAGTGAGGGAATCCACCACCTCTGCCCAGATGTAAACTCACCAGAAAGCTACTGGTAAAATAGCATGTATGCACATCACATCAGGAAATAGGACACAGCCAGAAGCCTCTAACATGGACTGCTCCCCCACAGGCAATCTGAAGGTGGGCCCTCTCCTAGGAAAAATAGCTCACCACAGGAGCCCAGAAATGGTATATGGTGCAGTACTTTATTGCAGAAATCGGTAAAACAATCCACGTGGAATAAAGATAAATATGATAAAATAAGAGTACCAAGATGGCCGCCGCTCCGACCTTCGGCAGCGTCGACGTGACGTCAGCAAGTATGGCTCTGCCCAATTCCCATAGACACCCCTAAACCTTGTGGACAGCCTTCCCAGAAGAGTTGAAGCTGTTGTAGCTGCAAAGGGTGGGCCAACTCAATATTGAACCCTACGGACTAAGACTGGGATGCCATTAAAATTCATGTGCGTGTAAAAGGGCAAGCGCCCCAATATTTTAGGCAATATGGTGTATGGGGCCCTGTTAAAACAACTTACTGTGCTGAGAGCATTCTTCCTGCACACTCCCAGAACAGTAACCGGTGGGGATCTGTAAGCTTCCGATGCATACTTGCGATTCAGAGCTTTCCTATCATGTGACTGCTGTGATAGTCAATCAAAGCAGTCACATGGCCCAAACACCCACCTCCACCTCCCAGCTTTTAGAACACTTAAAGGGCCAGGAGGCGGTTGGTGCCAAAGGGTTAATCTGTTCTAAGGGAAGTCTAGCTGGGATTCTTTTAAATCTGGGTTGTGTGGAACAAATCCTCCAAGACAATGTTTGGCTTTTTGCTGTGTTCCATATAGTGTGTTTGGATGTTTACAGGTACAAACTGGATGATAGAGATCTTGTGCTTAATCAAACATAATGGAGATGCAACACAAAGTCAGAAAATACCAATCTATGAAAGAGCACCATGGTATGAGACTGTTGGATTTCAAGAACAAGAAGATAAACTTACCCAACCAAGAGTCATATCCTCCCACCTACCCCACCAATTGTTTGCAAAATCTTTTTTCAAATCCAAAGCGAAAGTAAGTATGAGACAACCTGACTCATATCAGTATGATTATACAGTATTTGCTTTGAAATCTAAATTACTAGCTTAAGAACTGTATAAAAGTTAACATTTACTTACCTTTAAAGGGTGCCTATATCCAGACTATATTCCGTATTTCATATTCCTGCTGTACCATGTACCTGTATTAAAAAGTATTCTGTTCTCTTTGTATTTCTTCATTTGTTTGAAATACCTGGTGATCCTGCTAGTCCTCTTGCTTTCCTATTTCAAACTGATGTGCTAGACATAGAAGCACATCCTTCCTAGTGTGGTCTGTTTTCTGGCTGTGCTGAGAGAACAGCCTGCCTGTCCTCCAAAGGCCAAGACTTGTGCTGACACAGACTCTGCATAGCTCTTCTCTGAGAAAATCAATGTATTGCTTTTTCCCTGCCTCTGATGACACTACACCCAGCCCTTTAAGCCCCTTCTGCTGTCATGTGATCACTTATGAAAAAAAATAAACAAGGTATTTATAATGTTATATATACTGTATATAACACACATTTCTTTCCTTGCACTTCTATTTTAAACTGAATGGGTTGTTTTACAAGGGCTCTCACATATACTTTACACCGTGTTCCAAATTATTATGCAAATTATATTTTTCTCATTTACCTAAATAATTGATGTAACTAACAGTCAGCATAATTATCATGTTATCAACTATTAAGAGTACAATTCAAATTTTATTGAACAAACCTCCTAATGATAACAGTATTTTTTTTAAACACTTACAATGCACTGTTCCAAATTATTACACACAGTAAGTTTCAAAACACTTTATAGGTTGTAAAGAACTGAAAATTGTCATTTGTTGTGTTTGCAGCATATTTACTGAAATCAAAAGCTATTTCAATCAAACTTTTAACAACATTTTAACTTTTTAAACATTTTAACATATGACCCCTTATTTGATAGCAGCTTCACAAGTCTTGCATCCATTGAACTTGTGAGTTTTTAGACAGTTTCTGCTTGAATTTTTTTGCAAGATGTCAGAATAGCCTCCCAGAGCTGCTGTTTGGATGAAAACTGCCTCCCACCCTCATAGATCTTTTGCTTGAGGATGCTCCAAAGGTTCTCAATAGGATTGAGGTCAGGGGAGGATGGAGGCCACAGCATGACTTTCTCTCCTTTTATCCCCATAGCAGCCGTTGATGCAGAGGAATTCTTTGCAGCATGAGATGGTGCATTGTCATGCATGAAGATGATTTTATTACGGAAAGCATAGTTCTTCCTTCTGTACCAGGGAAGAAAGTGGTCAGTCATAAACTCCACATACTTTGCAGAGGTACTCCACATACTTTGCCGACCAGCTCTGTTCCCATGATTCTGGCCCAAAACCTGACTCCACCACCGCTTTGCTGACGTCGCAACCTTGTTGGAACAGGGTGGCCGTCCACCAACGATCCACTACTCCATTCATCTGGACCATCCAGGGTTGCACGGCACTCATTAGTGAACAGGACTGTTTGAAAATTAGTCTGCATGTTTTTTTTCTGCCCAATGCAGCCATTTCTGCTTGTGAGCATTGGTTATTGGTGGCCGAATAGAAGTTTTATGCACAGTTGCAAGACTCTGGAGGACTCTACACCTTGATGTCCGTGGGACTCCAGAGGCACCAGCAGCTTCAAATATCTTGTTTGCTGCTATTTAATGGTATTTTAGCAGCTGCTCTCTTGATCCGATGCATGGATCTGGCAGAAATCTTCCTCAATGTCCCTTTATCTGCACGAACCCGTCTGTGCTCTGAATCAGCCACAAATCTCTTAATAGTGTGATGATCACGCTTAAGTTTTCATGAAATATCTAATGTTTTCATACCTCTCCAAGGCATTGAACTATTTCACTCTTTTCGGCAGCAGAGAGATCCTATTTCTTCCCCATATTGCTTGAAAATGGTGCTCTGCTTAATAATGTGGAACACCCTCCTTTAGTAGTTTTTCCTTAAATTGGGCTCACCTGCCAATCTAATTATCACAGGTGTCCAAGATTGTTTTTAGTGATCAAAAGAGCCCTGACACACAATGCCATCCATGAGTTAAACTGAAAAACAAAATGTTTTTATCTTTGTGACACTTAAATAGAATTTGCATAATAATTTGGAACAGGGTGTATATTTATAAAAACTGATGAATGGATGACCTCCCTCGTCCCTGTGCATAAGCATTACTGAGCTTCAACTGTGCACCATTAGGGTACATGCATGACCGGTTCATGCACACAAGCTATGCCAGGCAGTATACTGTCAATGTGCCACAAGCTGGCAGCGTTTATGTACATGTGCATATGCGCAGTAGGTCTTCGCCATGTCCTAGATACCAACAGCACAATTGCGCACGTGTGCTGGGATTTCTGTGCATGTATACAAATGCTGCCAGCATACTCCTTGAGAGCTTTGCAGCACAAAAAGATATAAAAAGAATGGAAAAAAAACATGGAAAATAGAATAAAAATGTTTAGCTTTTCTGTAAGGTGGGGGGTAATAGTGAGCAAATTTAGTTCTGCTTTCATTTTTTTCCCCTTAATATCTGCCTTAAAAAACAACTTTGCAGTACAGACACATGAACAACAGAGCACCTTTGAATGCTAAAATATCCCAAATTCTTTTGGTTCTTTTCAGATTATTTATACAATGCGGAATCCTAAGGACATAATTGTTTCTTTGTACCACTTCACCAAGATTCTTTTCATTTTCAAGGAATCTGATAATTTTCAACAACTAATAGAGGACTTTGTGAAAGGGAATGGTGAGTTAATGAGTTGAAAGAAAACACAATGAATAGGATTTACTGAAATATGAAGCGAAAGACAGGTGCAGGAAAAAAAAAGTAAACTGCTAATCTATTCCTTTATATAGTGTGTGATTATGTGTCAGCTAATCTAGTGTAATTATGTGAATAATGATTTGACTCTTTCTTCACATTGCTTATGGGACTGAAATACCAGATTTCATCATAATCCAATCGTGGTTTTTATATTGATGTTGCACATTGTAGAAGTTCAAGTTTGTAATGGATACTGAGGTACAGGGGTAGGAGGGGGGTACAAGGTGAACTTGAAGAAAGGAGAAATCTCCAGCTCAATGGCACCAGTGTTGCCATTGTCAACAGCATCACTGGTAGCCCAAGTGGGAACTGTAACACAGAATAGGTGGTCACATACCCTGACATTTTTACATGATAATGTTATCATAGCTGTCAGAAGGTGCTCATATAAGTGTGTAGGCAGGTGCCTACCCCGGCAGACTACTGTGGTCGATATTGGGCTGCCGTCCCCACCCAAGTCTGTGCCACCTGTCACGGGACCTACCAAGTCAGTGCTTCCCTTTTCAGGATCTTCTATTAACATGCCAGACTCCCCCTGTTGGGCTTTGGATCGAGTTAGAAAGCGAGAATCCTGCTGAGTGATGAGAAGATATCACCCACTGAAAGATATGCTGCTGCCTACCATCCTGACTCAGGAATCTCTGGATCAAACACTCACCGCCATGCTCATGCAATCAACGTTGGCTGTACATTTTGGGAATTCTCTGGACAGCTTACCAGTGACCTCCATTCTGATCTTGCCAGTCCCGGAGCCTTCAGCCTTACGTAACTTGGGGCTTGGCGACTCTGGACTCACTTTTCCACTCGTCCTAGAAGAGCTGCCAGAATTGGAGCCTATGCCTTCAGTTCTCTGAGGGGACATCGCTACCAATAGCAGCGAGGAGAATGCTCCCCAATTATCGTCTACATCTAGCACCCATCAGGACACTTCTGAGGAATGGAGTTAGCCATCTCTCTTTGAGATATACAGAAAGTTCACCCACCAGTCTGTGGATGCATATCTCCCTCAAGGGTCTGTACCATTGCAGGCGAGAATAACTAGACTGTCAAGGCTGAAGCGGTACTTTGACAAGAATGTCACTGACCACTACTGTCAGAAGTTCTCATATGTGACAGAAGCCTTATTTAAACAGCTGGAAGAACTTCCCCACATCTATAGTAGGGAAATTTGGGAGAAACTGAGCACTAGAACACCTCTCACAGTTCTGGTACCAAAACAAACTTATCAAAGCATAATGCCATTATTTATACCGGGGGTTTAATGGGGGGAGACACAGTTACATGGACCAGATGGAACTTGTTAAGTCTGGCTACACTTATACAGTGGAACACCAGACATGGCATCCAACCATGGATCTCATACCCAGAGAGATCTCTTACCTAATACATGATCCATGCACCCAGGCAGGGGATGTGTGCACTCCCTGTGGCCTGGCTGTGCTGTGATTCATTACAGCACAAGTTGATCAGTGGGTCTCGGCCTGATTGACCACTGGGACCCACTGACTGTAAACAACACAGAACTCTGTTCACTGACTGGATCTTGCTTTTTTTTTATTCCTTGCTAAGCAGGGAAAAGAACAACAGGATCCTTAGTTAAAGCAACATATATTACACACATTAAACATAGTCACACAGTTAACCCCTTGATCGCCCCTAGATTTTAACTCCTTCCCAGCCAGTGTCATTAGTACAGTGGCAATGTACAGTATTAGCACTGATCACTGTATTAGTGTCACTATTAATGTCAGTGTCAGTTAGTGTACCCCCCAGCCATCGTCATCTAGTGTCAGATTGCTACCTATAAATCGCCGATTGCCGCCATTATAAGAATACAAATTATTCTGACTCAGATTGTTGTGATAGCGATTTATCCCTTGTGAGACCTCTCTGCCTAGCCTGTATAAGCAGATATAATCACTGTGGACAATCCTTATCAGATAGCTTGAACTCACCAATACTGTGTTCATCCAGAAGTTGCTTTATTCTGTACATGTGACAACAGGATACAGCAGAATGAATGGTTTCCAGTATTATGCGGTCAAAAGATGATAATTTCTGTAGCATACTATGCAGAATACATGTGTACCTGTTACATGTGGTTTGTTAGCTGCCTCCATGACACAGGAAGTGCTGAACTCAAGAAGAAGGGAGGAGCTTCATATACAAAAGGAACTGTGTCATAGATCTCAGGGAGGCAACATGAAAAACAAATAAGGCCACTGGATGGCAGCATATAACTAACTATAGAAATATCCATAGGAAATGGTACAAAGAATAAACTATATGAATTCTCATGTACATTAACAAAAATATTAACTGTGTAACAGCATACAAATAAATAAATACAAATTCCATAGTTTGCAGACGCTATAACTTTCATGCATACCAATCAATATACACTTAATGGGATTTTTTTGTACCAAAGACATGTAGCACAATATATTTTGGCCTAATCTAATTTGATTTGTTTAAATTTTTATTGGATATGTTTCATAGCAAAATAAAAAAATTAAGTTTTTTTTTCAAACTTTTAGGTCTTTTTTCGTTTATATAATAACAAATACAAAACCCAGTGATGATCAAATATCAACAAAAGAATGCTCTATTTGTGTGAAAAATAGGATAAAAAATTAATTTGGGTACAGTGTTGCATGACTGTGTAATTGCTAGGTAAAGTAGCGCAGTGCTGAATAGCAAAATATGGCCTGGTCATGAAGGGGGTAAAACCTTCCGGAGAGCAAGTAGTTAATCTTTAAAGTACTTTTTGTTTTTCGTTTTTTTTTCTTTTAATTTGAATGGCATTAGTTTGCTGCAGGTTAGCCCTTCACCTACAAAACACTTGTTTTTTTTCCATATTTCTGCCGTATTATATGTTTATATTGCAGGTGCACAAAATTTATAATAGTAGCTACATTAATATTATATTCTTAACTGGGCAAATCATTTCCATGCAGAAACTCTAAGATTTAACATAAGGAGTAAAAACAGAGCAATTAAGCAGGCTCCCAAATGAGTGCGAAAAATCGTTACCACCAGTAATAACCTGGCAACACCTTTACCATGTGTCAATCACTCTGGACAGCTGGTGAACTTGTACAAAGTCATGGAAATCTAGGGGCTTATATATATATATATATATATATATATATATATATATATATATAAAAAGCCCAAGCAAAATTAGGTGGGACGTGAAGAAAATAAGAATCAAAACATGTGTATGTGTCACTTTGGAAAATAATATTTGTAGTATGTGAACTTATCACAGTGTTGGGTATGGTAACAATTTTTTGAAACTATATTTTCAATTTATGTAGTATTGTGCACAAGGAGAAAGATATACACAAATTCCAGAATATTCAATAAAATAATCTTTTGTCTGATGCCCACCAAAACATAGATGCAGCCTGCCTCCTGGGTGACTGCATGGAAAGGCCAAGTATGAGTGAACTGTCGATGTACCTCCTGAACAATTCTATCATTTGTCTTGTGGCTCAACCTAATACCAGTTCTGAATGTGATAGAAGATTGTTTGGTGACCTCCTCCTGGATCCACCTCGCTCTAATAACTAATTTACTCTACAAAATCCTTGTGGCTTTTAATGACAATTGATAAGAATTGGAGTGTTGGGCTGTAAAGAAGGTAGTAAACAGGGGAGGACTGACCATTTGGAAACTTGGGCACTGCCCGAGGGCCCGGGGTCAGTAGGGGGCCCCATAAAATGCTCCTGGTACCTTTTTCATAGGCATTTTTGAGTTTGGGCAAGGACAAAAGGGCCCCATGATCCCCTATTGCCCGGGGGCCCCATGAGTTGTCAGTCCGCCCCTGGTAGTGAAATATGAGCATGATGCTTTATCACAACTTCAGGACAGAGATGTGTACTTTGTTTTTAACAAATTTCTTATGCTGGCTTTCCAAAGCACCTTGTGCAACCTTTTTTCAGCAGGGAAATCTATGGGAGTTCTTACAAAAATTCAGAACATTTAAATGTGCAGTCACCAGTAACATCTTGCTGTGGCAGGTATTGTTTCCATTTTAGAACCTTTAGACAAGTTGGTTGACTGGCATCCTCAGCTCTTGGTAAAGTACTTCATGGCTTTACAAAAAATACTAAAATGGTTCTAACACATACAATTTCTCATGGGTCATTTTTGATGACAGATCTCTGTATTTCTCAAACCCCAACAATTTAAAGGAATTAAATTACCACTTGACCTCCAGAAGGTTTTACTCCCTTCATGACCAGAGCATTATTTTGCTATTCAGCACTGTGCTACTTTAACTGCAACTGCGCTGTAATGCAACACTGTACCAAATTAAATTTATATAATTTGTCACACAGATAGAGCTTTCTTTTGATGGTATTTGATCACCTATGGGTTTTTTCGTTTCTATTATATAAATGAAAAAATACCAAAAAAATTTTTGGGAAAAAGCAATATTTTCCAATTTCTGTTATAAAACATTTGATAGTGTGGTGGGCAACCAGGCACTTGCTGGCTGAGAGGTATACTAACTGATATTGACATCAATAGTGACACTAAGGTGTCCGTTTATGAACCAGCGGTAATAGATTGCTGCTCAGTTGTCCGGCATTCTCGGAGAATACAGTTCTCCTGTGAATGCAGTTTATGAAGCAGTTCTCCGAAGGAAGGGAGAACGGTCTCCAAACGCTGGAGAATGGTCTACAAATGCTGGAAAACGGCTGATTTTACTATAATCTCGCGAGATTACAGTAAAAGATCAGTTTACTAAACAGAGGTAAATTATCTCTGCTTAGTTTTCGGTCCCTCCGATTCTCCAGCTCTGGGCTGGAGAATCTGGAGGGAGAACACAGATCTCCAGTGAAGAGCTGACATGATCTCCTGAGTGTCATAAACTGTGAATGACCAGAGAATAGCTGAGATCCGTTGAATCG